CACACTTCAGGCACATTAACTTTCAACAACCTGGACACACACACACACACATAGAGGACTCTCCTGCACTCTAATCTATAAGTGATTCTTCCAGAGCCGCATCGCTGCAAATCTGCTGACCAACACAATACACACACACACACAGAATAGAGAAAGGGTGTGTGCATCTGTGAATACATTTGTGTCTGCCTGAATGTGTGTGAGTGTATGAATACACCACATTGTGTGTGTGTTGCAGCAACATTAAAGCAGCTCAGCTGAGCACAGTCAGGTTTCTTACTCTTTCGTTTCCTCGCACAGATGCATTTTTATTTGGGGGATGTGAGTTTGGAGTTTTTGAGTTACTGACCCTATCCTTTAAACACCAAAGTTTTTACTCTACGACTATTGTAAAATCATTACAGCATGACTGCAGTGATACTAAAGGAGTCACTATAAACCTTGTGTCTGTAATTATTCTGTAGGGATACTATAGAATAAACATTTAAATAAAGTACAGAGAACTACTGTAACCTTATTAAAATGCATCTTGGGCTAAGACTACATCCTGGAACTGATGTAACTTTGCTTTGGTTAAATGTTGAAGGTGTTTAAATGTTATCGCCAAGCGGGAACCTCGGGGGCTGAAAAGTGAAGCACCTTAAACTTGCGTTCTCTCCAGCAGCCAGCAGGGGGCGACTCCAGCGGCTGCAGAAAGAAAATGTTTCTACTTGTCAGCTGATTTATTCCCTCAGTAAACACTTTCCTGATGAGTTTCTGGTCTCAGTCGCTAGTTTCAAGTCTTCTTCAACACAGCATGATGTTCATTTAGTAAATTATGGTCCCATTTAGAGGAACACAGGAACACATTCTACCATTATTTCTAATGCTGGCGATTCAATAGAATGCACATTTAAGGGACTTCTGCGTTGGATTCACTTCTCAGACCGGAAGCTTCCCGCTTGGTCTGAAACAAGCTGTAGATGCTCCTGTCTCTTTAAGCCCCCCCCCTCAAAGCCCACAGTCTTCTGATTGGCCAAGAACTGAAGCATGTTACCAGGCGCGTGTTGTCTTGGTACAGGCAGAGTGAGCGTTGCTGTGGGAGCAAATGACCATATATGGAACAGCGGCTCCGTCTGGCTCCGTGTGTTGATAAACGGCGCCGTTGGTAGAAAAGGCCGTTGAAAACAGAGCGTTCAGAACAGGAGGAAATCTGAGGTTTTTGGCTCAGTGATTTCTTAGAAATACTTTAACCTCAACTGTTGGCCGTGTTAACATGAACATCCAACATTATAACATTAGATAAGTCATATAAAATGCGGAAAAAGCAAATAGGTCTCCTTAAACGAACACCATTTCCCATAAGCCACAGACCATCACGGCTAAACTAAAGAGGAAATGGAATCTTGGACGGATAAAAAACTTAAAACATGACTTTAGAAGAGAGTGTTGGTGATTTTTATGGATATGAAAGAAACGATGATGTAAGTACCTGCGCAGGTAAACTCTCCTGGGAGTTGTTTTTCTATAACAGATCAAATCTAGCTCATCGGTTGCAGAATATGGAAAGTTAGACTAACGTTTTTATAATTAGACTAATGACAGACAACGTTAAACAGAGCTTAAGGGTGAAACTAAACTGGTTCATTAAGGCAAAACAGTTTCTCTCTGTTTGTAGAAAGTAAAGAGACAAAATAACTGATCAGTTCGTATCAGCAGAAAACTCTGTGTGTGTGATTGAGTGAGTGTGAGCTAGCGTTAGCATGCGCCGTGGCGTGCATCTGATCACGCAGGATGAGGTGTGTGATCGATGGTTCTTTGATCAGGGGTCGTGTGTGTGCTGACAGGCACTTACATCGCCTATTGTTAGCGTGGGCGATCGACAGACTCATATAGATCCCACTGCGCTCTCTGTCACTATCTCTCTCTCTCTCTCTCGCTCTCCTGCATGTTGGCACTTTTTAAAGGTCACGTTCGTCATCGCTCTCCTCTCTCTCTCTCCTGTCCTTTCTGTCTGTCGCACGTCCATCATCTCTCTCCTCCACTCTGCGGTCTTGATCGCCCCTCCCGTCTCTGATATTTCTGATCATTAAAAGAGCTCGGAGGGAGGCTGCTCATTGGTGGCAGCTGATACATGATGTCACAAAACCTGTGTTTAATATTAGTGAGAACTCTTTTGAGTAATTTGTGTAACAACAGCCCATTTTTGTAGTTGTAATGTTATATAAGAAGTTCAGTGTCCAATGAAAAACTTTAAATGGTACAAAAATAAAAAACAGACATTTCAGATCTAAAATTAAAAATTAAATGAAGGAGTTTTGTTCATTATTTCACTGTAGGATCAACTGATGACCAGCTGCTCGGTTGCCTTCATTAAGATTATATATAATATATTAATATAGTCCACATAAAGCTTCCCCACTTCCCCAGCCTGTTAATCCACACATAAAGGGTGGATTAACAGGCTGTTCCAAGGTGTTTACTGTAGAAATGTGCTTCTGAATCACTTTTCAAGGCTTCATTTCTTTCCACGGCTGCAGAATAACCAGAGAAGGTAACTACAAAGTTTTTACGTCAGCAAAACTGAGAAATAATAAAAAGATTTAAGAGATGGACATTTTTCAGGGATCGAGTAATGAGTTAACAACTTCAAGAAAATCAAGGCAGTGTGCAGCGCTGAGGCGCAGACAATTCAGAATGTCCTGATAAATGAGATAAGTTGTGGTGTGAGTCCATTATTAACATTACATTATCTAATTTTATATTAATATGTTATATTATAGCACCTTATATTAAATTATATTATTCCATGGCCCTTATTTGTTTGTAGTACCAAATAAGTAAGTGTAGTAAAGTAGACAGGAACAGCAGAGGAAAGCGAGGGGACGGCATGCAGCAAAGGGCCCGGCCCAGGTGAGTTAGCGGGAGCCTCAACGATGGTTAAACTAACCAGAACTAAGTATGATGTACTCTGTTAACAGGACAGCCAATCAGAAACTGGGATTTTGCCTAAATATATAACCATGGGACAAAATTCCAGGTGAACAGTATTTGACTTGGTCCAGGACTCGTTAAGCTGGACTCACTGTGCTGAGTCTTCTTCGTGGCCATGTTGTGTTGTTTGTGTGCGTTTGTCAAGCAGCGTCTGGTTTGCTCTGGAGGAATTACATTAGATCCACTTAGATCTGCGATCCAATCACTGCTCTACCTCGCTCTATCAGAGAGAGAGAGAGAGAACTTACTCTGTGAGACTCGGACGAGCTCGGCCACCGTGAAGACGCCGGGCGTCACGAAGCTGTCCTGAAAACCCAGATGACCTGAGACAGAGAGAAGGTTCATCGTTACACATCAAAGGTCACACAACAGGATGAAGGTTGGCTGAGTCCACTGAGTCATCAGAGCAGTAGTAACATTCGCAGTACCAGGAGTACTAGCAGCAGCTTCAGCAGTAGTAGCTGTAGTAACATTCGCAGTACCAGGAGTACTAGCAGCAGCTTCAGCAGTAGTAACATTCGCAGTACCAGGAGTACTAGCAGCAGCTTCAGCAGTAGTAACATTCGCAGTACCAGGAGTACTAGCAGCAGCTTCAGCAGTAGTAGCTGTAGTAACATTCGCAGTACCAGGAGTACTAGCAGCAGCTTCAGCAGTAGTAACAGTAGTAACATTCGCAGTACCAGGAGTACTAGTAGCAGCTTCAGCAGTAGTAGCTGTAGTAACATTCGCAGTACCAGGAGTACTAGCAGCAGCTTCAGCAGTAGTAACAGTAGTAACATTCGCAGTACCAGGAGTACTAGTAGCAGCTTCAGCAGTAGTAGCTGTAGTAACATTCGCAGTACCAGGAGTACTAGCAGCAGCTTCAGCAGTAGTAACAGTAGTAACATTCGCAGTACCAGGAGTACTGGTAGCAGCTTCAGCAGTAGTAGCTGTAGTAACAGTCGCAGTACCAGGAGTACTAGCAGTAGTACTAACAGTAGTAGCAGTAGTAGCAGCAGTAACAGTCGCAGTACTGGCAGTAGCTTTAGCAGTAGTAGCAGTAACAGCACAGTCGTTGCAGTAGTAGCTGTAGTAGCAGTAGTAACAGTAGTACTAGCAGCAGTACTAACAGTAGTAGCAGTAGGTCTAGTTGCAGTAGTAGTAGCTGTAGTAACAGTCGCAGTACCAGGAGTACTAGCAGTAGCTTTAGCAGTAGTAGCTGTAGTAGCAGTAGTAACAGTCGCAGTACTGGCAGTAGCAATAGCAGTAGTAGCAGTAACAGCACAGTCGTTGCAGTAGTAGCTGTAGTAGCAGAGTAACAGTAGTACTAGCAGCAGTACTAACAGTAGTAGCAGTAGGTCTAGTTGTAGTAGTAGTAGTGGCAGCAGCAGTAGTAGCTGTAGTAGCAGTTGCAGTACCAGGAGTACTAGCAGTAGCTTTAGCAGTAGTAGCTGTAGTAGCAGTAGTAACAGTTGCAGTACCAGGAGTACTAGCAGTAGCTTTAGCAGTAGTAGCTGTAGTAGCAGAGTAACAGTAGTACTAGCAGTAGCTTTAGCAGTAGTAGCTGCAGTAGCAGCAGTAACAGTCGCAGTACTGGCAGTAGCTATAGCAGTAGTAGCAGTAACAGCACAGTCGTTGCAGTAGTAGCTGTAGTAGCAGAGTAACAGTAGTACTAGCAGCAGTACTAGCAGTAGTATCAGTGAGGAAGTACAGAAATGATGAGAAGTGGAAGCTTCTGTTTCCCAACAAGGATAATCACTACCATCTGGGAGTATTTCTGTGTGTGTACTTCTACCGGCACGTAGCTGAACCTCAGGGTCAAGGACTAACACACACACACACACACACAGATAAACCAGAGAGGATATCCTCCGCACACACTCTCTGATACAGTACACTGCTCTGACATCCATCAACACACACGCTTACAAATCTGGCGCACACACTTCCCTGATCCACACAAACCACTGGTCAGCGTGTGCGCGTCTGACCACCAGGGTCAAATACAGGTCACCCTGAGTGTGTACGTGTGTGCATATACATATAGGCTGTGTGCGAACGAGCGCTCACCGTTCTCCGGCTGCTCCTTGATATCTGATTCGCTGGCCTGGTTGGGGCTTTCTGATTGGCCGGTTTCTGGAGAGAGAAACAGATAAACACTGATGAGGACGAGTCCAACAACAACAACAACGCTGCATAACACGCTAAACACACACACACACACACACACACACATACACAAGCTCACAAAGGTGATTTGAAGCTCTCTTTCTTCTGATTGGACGGTGAGTTCACTGACAGCTGGGAATGTTTGATGTTCGGAAAGTCAAACCAACTGATCCAGAAATATTTAACGTGAAAACAGACTCACTGCTCCTGTTTAGTTACATGCAGAAACTGTTTTACGTTCCTTACACATTCTGCTCTTTCTTCACGTCAACGTCTCGTCCCACTGGATGAATTCAAACTTTTAATTTGTTATTCCTTTTTAGAGATGTCTGTGAAACCAGTGACGGTTTTGGATGCTGTTAGTACATTAGATCCTTTTTGTTTAACCAGAAACAGTTGCTATATCGCCCTCGTCAGAAAGCCACCAGACTCCATTGATAAAACAGCAATTTTACTTCTCTGGTGTCCCGCTGCCCCGATCGAATAGTTTGTGTTATTGTGTGACTTTGTTTGCTTGTTCTATTGTTGCTTCTTCTTATCATCATCATCATGTACAATTACAGTTTCGAACATTGAAAATACAAAAACAAATTCATATTTTCAGGAGACAAACCTGAGTGAATCCCACAGCAGCTCAATAACGTGTGTGTGTGTGTGTGTGTTAGTGTGTGTTAATGTGTACTGTATTGATCTCGATGCCACAGGATTTGGGTTTCAGCTGGTCTAACACACACACACACAGCAGACTGACTGGCAGACTGGAGCTCCTGCAGACAGGTCATTCAGCAGCAGGGGAAGGTTTCACGTTCTTAACTTAAAGAACAAAATCTGTGCCGCAGAGTCGGCCAGAGACCTGAATTCTTTGATGAAAGTACAGAAGTTTAAAACATGTTTTCTTGTCTGTGTGACTTATGTGCACAACAGCTCTTGAAACTGGTCCAGTATTGAGCGAGCGCGCTGCAGTCTGCAGCAGTGAAACAGGGCTGCAACGTAATCCTTGTGCCCCGCCAAAGTCCATCCAATAAAGTGCTCGTTTTTGCCGCTGAGAGACTCAGATTGTGATTACGAGTGTCTGACAGCATTCTGGAAAGGATCCCTACAGAGAGGAAACAGCCGATATATATATTGCTCTCGTCAAAGCCACCAGACTCCATTGATAAAAACACTAATTTTACTTCTCTGGTCTACCGCTACCTCGATTGCTTCGTTTGTGTTATTGTTTGACCTATTGTTTGTTTTTAACCCTTTAAAACACCAAACTCACACAATAACACAAAGTAAAAGTCCTTAATATAGAACACTTCATATGTTACTATTCACACGTTGCACATATTAAAAATAAAAAACGACACATAACAAACAAGGATCTGGTTGAAGGCTGCAGGTCTGTGCATCATCTTCATCACACAGAGAGTAAATCTGCCTCAACATGGAGGACAAGTTGCGTCTGAAGCTGCCACCAGAGAGGATCATGGGACATGTCTGACATCCTCCAACAGAGAAACTCTTTGCTGCCCGCCTCACCGTGTCTGCCTCTGTTTTCCCAGCATGCTCTCTGCTCTGATGCAGCTCCGCTCCTGCAAATGATTTAGCGTCTTCAGGAGCATCGATCGGCCGCGCTGCAGATAAAATAGTCGGGGGAGAAGAAATATTACCCATCATCCCCCCACTGGAGCCGGCCGCAGGGGCCATGACTCAGGACTGGACTGAGACGGATGGAGTCGGGTCGGGGTTCGCTCTTCTTAGGACGTCCAATAAAGTGGAACTTTTTTTAATTATGATTCAATTTAATTATCAATCAGCAAATGGAGACAGAAGAAACAGAAGTGGAGCTGCGTGTCGAGTTTGAACTCTTCAAAAAAACAGAAACTGTCTGAATTCTGGGGGGAAATGTGTCTCCAGTGATGCAGCAGAGATGTAGAATATTTGCATTTGATGAGATTCGTCATCATGTCGTCGATATGGATCAGCATTGTAGACTGTATTTGTTTAGGTTACTGTAAGTATAAGGGGAAGTTTGAAGATGTGGTTTCTGTATCTTTAATGATTTGTTTGGGGTCAGATGTGTCTGTAATGTGTGACGGGACCAGGTCTCTGAGAAATCTGGACTCTGGAACAACCTGCCTAAAGTAGTTTTACTATAAAACTTGCTGCCTCGCCAGCTTATTAGTGATACTGGTGATTTTACAGTTTGTATTTTCTTCACTTGGTGTCTTTTTGCGTGTTTTACTCGTGAATTGAAAGTGTTTCTCTGTACTTTTATCCCATTTAAAGCTGCTTTGTAAACCATGTGGTATGTAAATAAAGTTAATATTAGAAGAGAAATGGCCTTAAAAGACGTTTGATGACGACTTTACTTTAGCGGCATCTAGTGGTGAGGGTGGTGAATTGCGACCAGCGGCTCACGGTGCATTCACATGCTCCTCTTATGGTTCTTATTTCCCGAGTCGTTCTTCTGACTTCAGCGTGTGTTCACGTGCTCTGAAGTCAGAATGTGGAATCAACATGGACGCTGCTACAGAGATGTGTCGGATTAACATCATCAGAGCTTACAAACAACATGCAGACTTCTAGTTCACTCTACATGGACAGCAGACTAACCGTTAACCAGATTACACATTACATGTTTGCTAAATATGAATATGCAATACGTGATTTTGCACGAATCAAAGTTCTGTATACTTCTTTATGTCCCATGTACACTTTATTTCTCTTTGTGCAATAATGATTTAAGGAGGAAAAGAAGATTCTGATTATTCCAACACCACATGAATGCACCATCGGACGCCAGATTGAAATTTGAAGCAAAATTAATTTCTTGCTATTAAATGTTCTTCAGACATAACAGTAAACCTCCTCATTAATTAATATTTTTTATGTTCTGCTTCAGCTTCAGTTTTGCCCCCCCCACTATATTCATTAAACTTTCATATAAAGTGCATCACTACGATAGGCCGAATATTAATTGTAGGTTGTTTTCATTAATTAAATCTTTGTGCAAGAAAAACAGTCTACATTGGTCTCTAATTTATTAAGGCTAAGTGCGAACAAAAAAATAACCATTCCTACACAAAATAAGTGTTAGGTTATAGGTTTTAGTCGCACATCGTAAACTTTTCTGGTTCGCATGTCTCTATTTTATGCGTCAAGAACCCGTCGCGCTGCTGTTCTTCATGTTTTATTGGCTGTGCCGTTGACTTCACTGTTACCGAGCTGTTCTACATGCTGCCACCGGGAGATTTACGGGGACATATTTTAACGGGAGGACACCGGGAGAGAATGGTAAAATATGGGAGAAGCCCGGGGAAAATGGGAGGGTTGACCGGTATGCAAGTTACGGTGGTAGCTAGCTAGCTAAATGCTAAAAACACTCCAACCCCCTAACCCCGACCCCCTTACATATCTACGCCAATCAAACACAAGAATCTTGAAATGAACATAAACAACAACCAATAAACGCCCATAACCCGTGTGTTTCACGATTTTAGATCCCTGGGTACAGCGGGGACCAATTTAAGTGCGACACACAACAAAAAAACAACGCTGATCCGCTGTTAGCTATCGTCAAACAGATATCGTACCGAATATGTTTACCCGCCACATTGGCGGGTAGCCTTCCAACATTTAGCCGCCAAACGGAAAATCTACCCTATCCCTAACCCACATTTGGCGCTTGGTGGGTGTTAATTTCCAGCCCTGTTCATACATATTCAATGTAGCGGTGAAACGCGCTCTGTGGAGCAGTTTGTCCATTTGGGCTACTGTAGAAACATGACGGCGCAACATGGTGACGTTCCTGTAAGACCCGTGTATGCAGATAGAAATGTCTCATTCTAAGCTAATACAAATATAACGGTTCATTTAGTAAGGACTTAATGGAAATATTGGTTATGAACTTATTCTATTATTATTATTTTCTAGTATTTTCTTCTGCAGCTGCTCATGTTAAACCCACATTTAAAGGAAAAGTTCTTCTCTGAAAACATAGTTATGGATGTTATCTTGCATTTCTGTCAATAGATTCTCCTAAATATTACACACTGGACCTTTAACACTCTGACCAGGTGCTTTCTTGTCGGTGAAACAAACATTTCCATGTCGTTTTTAACGGCATTATCACGAGACGTTACAGATTTTGTGCTCAAAACGTTTTTGCCGCAAGGTTATATTGTTTGAACGTTTAATTAAATTTCTAAAAACCTTTTGCAGCGAGAGCCCCTCCCCCCCCACCCCCCACCACTCCACACACACTGAGACAAAGTGCGTATTTATCAGCCTTGTTTTGCATGCTGTTCACTGTGTCTGTTTGCTTCAGCAGCTTAAAACAAAGAGCATCAGGCTGAAACCATGGCAATCAGGGGGTGTGGGGTGAGGGGGGGTGCTGCTGATGTGTGTGTGTGTTGGAGGGCACTTTCACACACTGCCCCCCTACCCCATCACCCTTCCATCGCCTCATTCAGCCGTCACCCCTCCCCTCCTCGTCCAGGTTAATTAAATATGCTAATGAGGCGTGGGAGCAGACTGGACTGTCTGCCCCCCCCCAGCAGGCGGAGAGGGGGGGTGGAAAGGGGGGTCCAATAAAAGCAACAACCCAGTGAAACCAGTATACAAACTGGGAATGAGCTCCACCTCTACTGTCTCAGTCACAGGTGTCAAAATAAAAGTCGCTGTATAAAGCCCCCCCCTTCCCCCTTCTCTTCTCTCGCTCTAACACAGGCTTCAAAATAAAAGCCTGCATTTTCGAAACAGACACAAGTTGCGTGCTTTGATTTGTGGAAGTGCTGTAAACTGAGCTGTTTATTTCTTTTCGCCACTTCCTCTCTGTCGTGCTACAAAATTAAAGTCTCTTTTAAAAACCTAAAGTTGCCTCCATCCAGCCATCCGTACTTTTGTTTTGAAAAGTTTTCTTCTCCTTGCAATTCTATAAAAACCTCTCTCTCAGTCACAGGCTTCAAAATAAAAGCCTC